TAGGCAAATTATTACAAATGCATACAACTTTATCTAGTTTTATCTTTGCACACAGAACATACAACACGTAAAAGGAAAAGGTATGACAAGACAGAAAATTAGCCTTTGGATCAAATCTCTCCTTTTTTCCTTTTAAACATTTAGATTTGTATATGTGTGTTTATATATACAAAACTGCATGTCTAAAAATAAACATTAATTTATTTTTAAAAGTCTTTCACATAAAGGTATATAAAGCATATGTGTTTTGGAGTTATTCCAGTCTCTTACAGAAATGGTTTTTGAGGTTTCTATAAATGATTATTTATGGACCTGCCCAAAGCTTCCAAGAATCCTTTTTACAGACACACACGCCCCAGCACTATAATCCATCATGTTATAGCTTCTACAAACCCTAACAGCTCCCTTTGGGTTTATGGGCCTTTATCTATGTAGTAAACTGACATGACTTCTCCCACCATGAACACAAAATCTTGTGCAAAAACATACAGAAAAAAAAGCCCCATAAAATGATTTTACATTAGAATAGCAACAAGAAGTCTGGATTCAGTAATCTTCCTTATGGGGACTTAGTAGTTCTTGGTACTCTTACATGTCATTACTGAAAAAAAACATGTGATTACTGCTCTGTTCCTGAAATTTCCTCGTAAACTGCATTCAGGACTTAAGAAAACAGAATTTAAAAATTATTTGGGCTGAAGAATGAGGTGATGCTCTGACGCTGCAGTTAGATAACATCCGAGTTACCTATCCTTACCCTGAGTTTCTACAAGAAGCACTGAAAATACAAACCCCTCAGAATTACAAAAAAAACCAAAGGTCTTCAGTCCCAACTCTGTCTCTGGAATGTGAAGAAAAATCCATCTGATAGTATTAGACTTACAGGGTACATGTTTAAACCAACCACAGGTAGTATGGACATAGTGAAAGAACATCATCTTTACTGGCATAATAAGGGATTGCCAATACTGCTACTACGACAGAAGTTCAGTAACTGTTCCATTTATGGAAACCTAACTCCTTGGGAAGTGTGATGTTCTCAGACCATGATAAACTGTAGGTGGTTAGGAAATTAACTGACAGTTTTTGGTCAGAGTTGTGATCCGGATGTCTTGACTAGCTCCATCAGACACACACCACAAGGATATGAAGGCCGAGCCCACAAATAGTGACCTATGAATTTAAAGGACTTTTAGCATTAAAATAAAGCTTCACACATAGACTGGTTTTGCAAGTAAAAAAAAAGGGCACTCCACACGCTTCAGTATTAAGGACTGAGACTTGGCCAGCAGACAGCAGAAAGCCAATGGCTCCCACCTGCTGAACAGTCATTAAAACACAGCAGTTACCTGAGAAGCAAAGTTTCTCTGACTAATGACTCCAGATAAGTTTTCCAGGTAGTATAGCCTGCAGTAAAATGCAGACAAAGCTTTTAGCTTTCTCATGCTGCAGAAAGGTTGGAAAGCAACCAAGTGAAATGGAAGGAGTGGGTAAAAAATCAAAGCAATAGACAGGGACAGGAGATGAGGGGAGAAGGGGGATAACCTTCCCATTGAGTAACACTTCTTCTGATGCATTGCCACCTGCGGCCAGACCTGACTGCTAGAAATATGCTCAGGCATATTTAACTGCTCCAGAGAAACATCATATCTTTCTCTTCATCTCTGGCAGCACAGTGGGAAGATCACCAAGACCAGCCATGAAGGGAACACTGCCCAGAGCTGTGGGCACAAGCTCTCCTTTTCCAACCACCAAAACCAAGGGCAAGGAAGAAAGAAAGAAAGGGGAAAAAAAAAAAAAAAAAAAAAAGGTCAGCAAAGCTTGGTAAGAAGTTCTGATGCTGCAATGTGACTCATTTCCTTTTCTGCAAAATCAAAGTAAATATCATGAGACCTGTACCGTGAACTAACTCATGTGTTATCTTTATTCAAAGTTAACTTCCTATGTCATACTTAATGGTAAGCTGCACCGGCGCACATGAACGACTGTCACAGTCTTCTACACCTCAGAAACCCTTTGCTACACACACAAGAACCTTTGCTTCAGTTTCAAAGAATACTTCTCTCAGTCTTTTTTCGATAATGTGTTTTTTAAAGGAAAAAACTGCTCTGAGCTTCAGTCTTAAGTACCTCCTACTTTAAAAAGTAACAAATCTGAACTAAAAATTCTGATTAAAGAGGAGAAACACAAGTTACAGTGTGCCCTCATTTCAAAGGGCTTTCAACTGACTGAGGATGAAGAGGGCTGAGCAAGAAATGTTTCAAACAACAAACCTTTATTTTACTGTCAACTTTTACCGTCTCTTTCACTAACAGCTTTATCAAATGTGAAGTCTGATTGGTGCTACCAGTTCTCAAAACACCTTGCACTGCTGTGTACATTTTAAAAATGAATAACACATCAGCAGCCTCTGACTTTCACACACGTAGGACATCAGGGTGTGCCTCAGGTTCATAGTTACTGTTTACTTCTGTTTTTCTTTCTCATTTTAAACTGACAAATCCAACCAATCTCTCTGATTGCTACTGTGTGCAAGCTCCCGTTTGCAGCCAAGGCAGATTAGCCACTTTGCTGGTGAAATACCACGCAACACATGCTGCCTTGTGCCTGTCACCCAGCAGCCTCGTGGGAATGCAATATGAGCCTGGAAGAGCAGTGAAGTGGCAAAAGAATAAGAGGTTTAAAAAGACAGGAAGAGAAACAGCTCAGAAAGAACAACAAGAATTCCTTCATTTCCAGCTTCTGTTAACGCTCCTGCCTTTACACATACAGTTAGGCAAGGGAGAGGGTTGAAGGAGAACCAGTGATTTGTCAGACCTATCTTTTTAACAATTTACCTGAGGATAAATTTCAGGAAAAACTATTCTGATAGCTGAAAAACTATTAAAATTTCATCTTGCTTAAAATACACGGTTTGGTTTTCTATATAAAACTAGCGATCCTTACAGTCTGCTGTGCCTCTCATTTCTTTCCAGTTTGTGCTAATTTAAGTGAAGTGGTTAATTCAAGCATCAAAGACAATACAGTTTTGAGCCCTCAGTTTTACAAAGGTTGGCAAGCAGTAATGCAACAGTCCAGTGGAGCAAATTAACTCGAGAACACAACAGGCCATTTATCACACATGTTTTGCCTTTGAACACAAACCCAAGATAACAACTCTGCCAGGTATGGATACGCAAACTATTCCAACACGGTGCAAGCCTGACTCACAGCCCAGGGTAGAATACTTGCAGCCATAACAAGTTTCTCCGGCCTGAGTATATAAAATTCCACACTCCCTTCAGCCCTGGCAATCCCTGCTAGTTTGGCAAAGGATCCTGATCAGACAGAAATGCACAGATTTATGATCCAGGCAGATTTTACAGGCTGAGTCAAACTGTGCCCTGTAAAGAGGAAATAAGCACTGCAAAAGCTGTATCTCCCTTCACCTTCCCTTCAAAAATTACATATTGTCTTCCCCTCTACAGGCAGGCAGGGAGGCTTTCATAGCTTGCTGACCAATTACGGGAGGAATTTTGCCCTCCCCCTCAAGCCTGTACAATGGGCTCTTTATGTAAATCACTCAGAAAAATTAATACACCATTAATCCATCAGTAAAGCTTCCCTTCCCATCTCTGCCCTGTGGCTTAAGCATGAGCTAAGGAAGGCAGCACAAGAAACCTTGTGGAAGTTACACAGCATCCACCATCAGGGCTGAGTGGTTCTTCTGATACACAGCATGCAAGATCCCACAGGTGTTAGAAGTGTATCTGACATTGCTCTACAATATCAAGATATCAACAATCAGAAGTAAAAATTAGCCACTGGTTGCAAATGCAAACTCCCTTTTTAGAAGTTTTTCAGCAACGAAAGAGGTTAAAAAACAACCTTCAAAGCACAGATTAAAATTGTCTCCTAGCATGCTGGGAGCAAAGCCCAAGCATATACATCCTGTGTTAGTGTTCCTGCATACAAACCATTTACTAAAGCCACAATCTATTCTGACTCAGAAGTGAAATTCTGGTCAAATAGCTACTAACTGCTCCCAGAAATGAAAAGAAATAAAAGGCCCTTTGAAGTTCAAATGCCATTGGAGAGCCTGCCTGCTCTTTCAAAAGTGACCTTATAGCAAAATTGAGTTAACCTTACACTTCCTATTAACAAACTAGTTCTCTGGCAGCACTAGAGAAATTACAACCAAATCACTAGCTTTACTGGGTATTTTTAACCACACACAACCCACTGCCTGCCAGCCAGCTACTAGTAGCTGTAGCTCACCATCTCAGAAGAGCAAACTTCTGAAATTCGATTTATGGTAAATATGAGGTATGTTTGAATAAACACCTGACAAACTCCATTTGAAAAGAAACCACAAAAAATAAAAGTACTTCTTCAAAATCTCATATAAAATACACTCCAGGTTTGAGTATTTCAAGGGTTCATTCGGAGCAATCTCATATCCTAGATATTCCTCCTTCTCTCTGTGGAGCAATTCCCATCACTATCTCATCTTCTCTTTTATTTTGCATCTGGGACCGTTTCTCAATCTGCCCTCATAAAAGAAAATACACTTAAAATTTTCCAGCAGGACCATGAGGCAGTCATCCAAAAAGCCACCCAGTCTGTTAGAAGTGGAGTCTTATATGGCTTTCGCTTCCACATTTTGAGGAGAGATTCTTGCAGCACTGGCCCAAAGGTTCTGTCACTAGTGACTATTAGCTACCAGAAACATAAACAAAACTTACCTATGCTCCACACAATCAGTACCTTTATGCTGGCCAGATGGGAAATTAAAGGTTTTCCCCATTGATTACTATAAGCTTTCACAGTTTTAACCCCCACAAAAAAAAACTTGGCAAGGCAGTGCTGCGCCTCGGCTTTTGTGCTGCCTTCCTCCTCCTCCTGCTACCCCACCTGCAGCTCCCAGCTCCCGGTGGGACCCGAGCAGCTGGACGGAGCAGCGTGGAGCAGGGGCTGACACTTCAGCAGCAATTGCAAAGGTTAAAGAGAAAGTGAGTCACCTTTTCTCTGCTGGCTCCTGTAGATCCAGTTCTCGTCATCCTCATCTACCTGCTGCAGGCACATGGAGGAGAGTTCACCATCGCTGCGAAACAATCTCTTTGTCTGCCTTGACAAGGAGGAGAAATTTATCCAGCTGACAGCACGGGAGAGGGAGCCTGGGTTTTGTTTCAGTTTGAAAGATCTCGAGACACACTCCTTTTTCATTTTCTTTCAACCCAGCTTTTGGCGTCGGTTCCAAACAGACTTTTCTGAAATTGTCCCTGTGCCCTTTCTTAGTGGTTTTCGTGGAAACAAATTCAATCCAACTTCAGTCCAGGTTTCTTCTTGTTGCATTTAAACCAGCACCAGTATGGAGGTAGGTCACTGTGCCAGCGCAGCTCCCCTGAAGCTGTTTTGATACAGCACTTAGGGAGCTGCCAAAGAAAACAAAGGGGAGAAAAGCAGCAGAAAGTGGCACCTTGCAGCAGCTCAGAGAAGCATGTAACAGCTGAGCAGAATATAGCACTAAGGCAAGCGTTTTCCCCATTCTCCACTCAAGAACAAAAACTGTAGCTCCACTCTTCGCCCTGGCATCGGTCCCCAGGAGCGTGCATGCAATTCAGTCCTCTCTTCTGGCTCATCAAAAACAGCCCACGAGGAGGGAAGAGCAGGCAGAGATCACTCCCTGGCATGGCACAGCTCATGAGGGACAATGGATCGACCACACTTCTGCCTCTTCATTCTGGCTGCCCTGATCTCCCTTAGTGAAAAGCCTGGTGAAGGAGCTCCAGGAAGGCTCTCCTAACAATAAAACCGACTGCGTGGCTATCGCTTAGGATTAGAGTGAAATATGATAGGCTCGCTCTCCTAAAAGCACAACCACCGAAGCAAAACTCCTCCTTTCCTCAGCCAGCTCAATGGCAGTGCAAACTTCTGAACTCTGCGTGCAAAAATAGGAAAGCACTTGTGCAGCTCTGTGGACTTGGAGACAGGGAAAATAAAATCCTGGAGCCTGTCCACAGCACAAGCACCCTGAACAGTGTGCTGAAAACATTTGTGCCTCTGTATCTGGTGGCACATTTAAAAACAAAGTAAATGCAAGTGCATGGACATAAACAAACCTGTGCATGAGCAGATATTTAGTGACCAGACTCCCCCTGGGGTCACTGCAGCTCATAAATAGGTTTCACTCCCAGCTGTGTTAGGTTCTGCCACCTTCTCTTTAAACTAGCAGCTGGGAAAAGCACTCCACGGCGTGAAGTTTTTAAAAAGTCAGGTGCTACTGAAAGGTGCAGTGCTTGCCCTGCATGCCAGAACCAGCAGTGCTCCTAGGAGGGAATAAGCCTTACATGGGGGAGAGGCAAGGAGAGCATTCAAAAGCAGATGGAAATTGGTTATACCAAGGCACCCCAATACCCATGGGTTTTGATAGAATTTGTCGCCAAGATGTAAGTTGACAAAAAGGCCCACAAGTTTCTATCTTGCAGCAAAATAATAGACTTGAATGTGTGACACATCCAGTAAAATCACCTCAGTGAATCCTCAAGCAGATGCTGGTGGTGAGGAACTCAGAGGAAAAAAAACAACCCAAAACACAAAAACATGCCACCTATCTGAAGAATAAACATTAATGTCTCAATATCCTAACTGCTGCAGATTATGTTAGCAAAAGGACAAGCAGCTTAAGAAAACAAGGGTACAGTGTTCCAGCTCCCAAGCTGTCAGTCAGATTTACACTATTGCAGAACACAACCTCAACCCCCTGGCAGATGCTATTGCAGCCCCCTGGATTCTGCTGCACAGCCTCTTCAAAACCATTAAAAACAAAGGCTCTGGCTGTTGCTGAAACTTATGATTCTCTGGCTCATAATAAGAGGATAAGGTTTAACCCACTGACTGGGAGGCAAAAAGCTAAGTACTGTATCAGATTACCCTATGAATCAACCAGGCACACCAAAGTGACCTTTGGCTCCCACTAACACAGCACAATGGGTCGGCCAACTGTCTTCTGTAAATAATTTAATAGGCTGCATTTAAATTGACCTCGCCTGACGAGGTAATGCATATGTACATACTGGGTCTTCCACCACTTCCCAAAGTCAGTGCTGATGTAGTGGGGTTGTGGAGGGGACTGCAGGGGTGCACAAATATGAGCACACACTGCTGACATTTGCTTTTCTCACTTTGTCAGGAAGTCCTTCTAGTCTGGAGTTTTTTGTCTTTGTTAACAGACACCACTGCCCATCCCTTATGAGACAAGAGACCTGTGTAGGGCTGGGGTGTTTGTTTTGTTTTGATTCTTTAGACCTTTTGCTTAAACTTAGACTTAGAGAATGTGGAGTGACATACCCCTAGAGACCCAAACACCAGAATATCCATTTTGGGGCAGTTCATGTATAAACAGGCAGGATTTAATGTAAAAATCAAATAATCAAAGACCATACTTCAAGTCAACTTATTTCTTTTAAGAAAACATTTGGAATTGCCAGTGCTGAAAAGTACAGAGAACTGTAAAATCCCACAGCTATTACTGGCTAAATTATACACAGCCAAATGTATAAAAACCCTGGTAGGAACTGCAGGATCACAGTCATCTTCTCTCCACTGTACTACTTAAAATCAGAAGATTAGAGGAACCAGCATGAAGGGAACCCTTTCAGGTTAACCCAGAATGCCAGGATAAATCCCAGAGCTTCCCTGAGTCTAGGGAGCAATTTAATTTTAGGAATTATCCTGACCTGTCTGGACCTCTGCCTTTATATCATGATGCCAAGTCACAACTTGGTGATGCAAGGGTGAAAACACTGCTGTGGGTGATTGACTGTAACATTTCCACTGCTACTGTAGACACAGAGTGGTGCAATGCTTTGCTCAGTTTGGTATCACTGGATCGCAAGAAAGGATTCATCACGATAGATCGCGACACTGTCATTACCACATAACACTTTTTATTTGTAGGTCACAAGAAGTTTCATATCAGTCTACATTGTTGTACGTGTGCATCAAAAATAAATTACCCATGATCAAGAGAAAACAGCAATTGCCATTTGAAAAACTACATATTGAGCAACTGTTGCAGGTTAATTCATGCCTTAATCATGCAAGGCCATACAGTTGGAAACTTAAGCATCTGATACACTTTAGAGGATTAAATTTAATCATGTAAAACACTTTACAAAGCCATTTAAGAGAAAAAAAAGGTACACCTCTAATAAGCTTAGCCAGTTTTCCAACCTGACTGTTTTCTCCCTTATGAAGACATCATACAAGTATATAGTCTTCATATTTTCCAGGTTATGTATGTAAAGATTAAGGCATTATTTTTGTTTCACTTAATACAAACCCATCTCAGTAAAAAACCCACGAGGGAATCACAGCATAAGAAACAAAGGGTTTGAAGTAGAAAGCTAAACTGGTTCCTCCCGCCTTCCTTTCTTTTTTTTTTATTTTTAGAGGTGAACAAGAGCAAATATGCATAGCCTAACATGCCATCAGGATTTTTACCATCTATCACAGCCCGATTGTCAAAGAATTCTCTAAAAGTTGTTAAACAAACACACATACACACATACATGGCTCACAGCCACTGCATTCCCCTAAGACCAGCAAAAACAACAACAACAACAAAGTTTTACGGAAAAGGTTTCGGTTCAGTGTAAAAAAATCAACAAAGCAGAAAGACAAAAAACAACACCAAAACTCCTCAGACGTGCTCTGGTTTTGGTTGGGCTGTGTTTTTTGGCAGAATTCACATGTTAATTTAATTCCTGCATTTCCTAGTCTATCATTTCTCATGACTCAGTAAGACAGTAACACGGATGATTCATAATTACAGCTTCCTGGGACAGCAACTGCTCCAAAAGCTGAGAGGATACCTCTCTCTCAGGCTTCCTGGGTATTTTCCTTCAGGTGGTAACAACTCATCACCAGCCAGTCATAAAGCCATTTGGATTAAGCATCATCAAAAGCCCACTAAAAACACCTTGCCTGCAGACTCAACCCTTTGCTACACAGCTCTTGATGCAGCCAGTGAAAGGTGCAGGGTGCCCCCAGCAGCCCCAAGAAAGCCTCCGTCCCACAAACTGCCCCAACACCACCACATCTGCTACATATGGTCCCCTCCCCAACCCTGCTCATCATCTTCAGGCAGAGATGTGTGGGAGTTTCAGTCAGTTTTGAAACCTTCTCAACCTGTCCTCCATTGGAGGTCTTTATCTACAGCATGTGTGTTGTTTCACAGGTACCCTATGAAATGCTCACATAGGAAATCCACAAAGTAACCCATATTTCTGCATAATTATTTACAGCAAAACAGCCACGCTGTGGTATCTCAACAGAGCCTCAAACTTCCAGTCAAGGCCGTGTCCGTTTTTGTGCAGAGTACAAAAGTGAGAAACTCAGTGTGAATGGAACTGTGAAGGAAAAAAATAGTAAAGAAAGAAAAGGATCAAAAATGAAGTTACTTGCCCAAGATCACAGAAAGGATAAGCAGGGAAGCTAAGAAAAGAAACTAGGTCTCCTGGCTACCAGCCTCACGACCTACTTAAGTAGGCCCTCTGTCTCACACAAAAGCAATGCCTATTAATTGTTTCTATCACAACCCTTACAGAGCCCTTGAATGCCCTAATTACAAAGGAAAATTATGTTTCTGATTTGCTACCCGTTTTGCCCTTTTGTTTTTTGTGTTTTGTTTTTTTTTTTCCCAACTTAAAAATACACAATACCATAAATGAGCACCTAAAAGAGGAGGGAGTTCTACACTGTAGGACTTCTTCAAGCATCCCAACCACATTTCCAACTTTATGAGGTCTAGAAGAAAGAAAAAAAAAAAAGGGGAGGGCCGGGGGGAATCAGACTGCAGACAATGTTTTATCCTGCAGAGGATAAACCAGCTTTCGGCCAGGTTTATACGATGCACCTCCCACCACAGTCTCCCTCCCTCCTTTCAACTTCTGTACCCCGGAAGGATTCACTGCATCAGGGAAGACAATATTTTCTCTGATTTAATAGCTGCACTTACTTTGGTAAGGAAATCCTGTAAAACCAGAGTGGCAGTTTCTACAAAGTGCAAGGCAAATCTGGACCTGGTTCTCCCCTCAACACCAGCTGCACGTAGGGATAACGACCACTCTTGCTATGAAAGAGGAATCAAGCAAGAAGCACAAACAAGGTGCCGTACAATTTAGTTGTTAGCAAAAAAGGTATTTGTAAGACGGGCAGAACCACCAGAACTGCCTAGGAAAAAATACCGTTTTTCTCTGAAATACTTTGATGCCAAAAGAGCAGGTAAGTTAACTGTGCATAAGACACACACCTGCTTCAATTGGGTACAAATACATTCATAAGCTTTTGGTTTTCTTCATCAGCATAATTCCAAAACTGACGTAAACCCCAAATTTCAGAGGAAATTTCCTTCCAAGTACACAAGGAGTTGGGCAGTCACTGATGGGTACGAGCAGTTTAAAGTACTGAGCTCTGCTGGGTAAGAGTAGGATGGATACTCTGAAGGTGTTTAAAGGACCTGAAGATGTGACACCTGGGGACATGGTTTAGTGGTGAACTTGACAGCGGTTGTTTAACGGTGGGACTCAATGATCTTTGAGGTCCTTCCCAATTTAAATAATTCTATGATATTCTGAGGAGTACAGGAGGAAAGGGCTCGAACTGTGTT